CGTTTTCTCTCTCTCTCTCTCTCTCATTAATTCATTTGAATTCATTTCAATAAATATCATTTTGGCGCTATTAAATTTCACTAAAGAATTCTACTTCTAACAAGGTGTAGATAAAATAGCCTAACAAATGAAAATTACCGTTATTTTCTGTTATTTATCCGTTCAGTCAGATTTTGTGCTGCAAAACATCCATGACAGCCATTGTCCATGCTGGCAAATAATAATGGCCACTCGACGTGAATTATATAAATAATTTTAATTCTGTGCATTAAGACTTGCAGTGTTAATGCAGCCAAAATGACCACAGCTGATCACAGTTGAAAGTCAAATAGTTTTGTGTGCCACTGAGAAGGTGATTAGCTACACCTGATTGAGTTTACAAGTCATTTTTAGTAGGGGGGTGATCCTTTTTCCAACTCAGTGATGCTGGGTTTTTTTTCTGACATGTTGGTGTTATATCTTTTACTTCAATGTTATAAGTTGCACTGAGTAAATACAACCAGATAAAACAAAAACTGTGTCCATCATTTCAGGCTGCAAAGATACAAAATGTGATTATTGTAAAGGGCGGTGATTATTTTCTATACCCAATGTATGTCTATAAATGTATATATAGACAGTGGTCATACACACAATGACAAAATGGCATCAGAGTAACATATGACACTAAAATAATGCAATAAACATTAACTAAATAACAGAACATGTAACACAAAACACCCTAATGCACATAACTGATAAAAACAATAAGAAAAAAAACTGATTCAATAAATTACAATCAAACGTGATGTGTCACACAAGGACTTTTGGGAATGTCCTTTTACTGTTTTTCACTGTAAATTATATGGTTATTCATAGTTTTTCCTTGCAAAAGCCATAAAATTGGCAGTATTTTACGGTAATTACATATAATGCTGTGTTAAGCCATATACAGTTTTTCATCATATATGGTATAAGGTAACTCAGTTAACCAATTAACAGGTTTTTACTGTAACATTTTTGCAGTATTTTTCTGTACAAATTACAAACATTTTGCAGCGTAAAGATCACCTCGCAGAGCTGAAATGCGAATCATTACTTTGAACTAACTTGTTTCTTCACTTCAATCTTAAATATATACAACAGAAGCCAACATAGAGGCAGGTTGTGTGTGTGTGTGAAAGAGAGACGGCCTGTGTATGAACTGTTGGTTAACTTTACAATATGTTATTTCTGTCACTGATTTGTCTGTGCACTGAGGTAGAATGCAATCTATGGATATCGGTATTCTCCCTTCTGTCTCCACACATGCACATTCACGCCATATCCTCAATCCCCTTCGATCGGCTTCAACATGAGCATCCTCTGTGACTGCCTCGCTCTGTTGACCACCATTGATGCTTCATTGGCCTATAGTTTCCATGGTAACTGTCTCAAGGCCTCCATTGGTATTGATGGGAGGAAATGGGAAGTGTCAGGGACAATATATCTAGGACTGCTGGAAACCAGTTAGACACTTGGACCCAGAGGTTACTCCTTCCAGGGGTTGCAAGAGTAAATCCATGGCTGATGGCTTTCTCTGGTTGGCATGATTCTGCCTAGACCAGGATTTCAAGCTGAGAGAGAGAGAGGTTGCTGGAAGCTTGTTTTTTTCTGCTGAAAAGGAGCTTGGTAATTGGAGGTTTATAGTTTACCTACTGCTCCTGGGAGCAAATTTGGGATGTGCACTCTTGACTTCACAATTCCGCATAGTCAGGAAGGCCCACCGCCAAGACACAATGGTCATAGCCAGAGGCTTTTACACAGATGCAGAAGTTGCTGTCAGTTTCAGAAGCAACATCAGTGTTGGTTAAGGCCATTCCACACCAAGCTGACATCAGAGTTTTGGGTTTTGGGCCAAAACATTGCGCTTGAACACACCACAAAGACACAGCCAACCGCCAAATAGCATGGAGGTTCTGCAGCTGAATAAGAGTACATAACTTTCTATACCAGCAGGTGGTAGTAATCTGTATTTGTCATTCAAAAAGGGAAAACCAGAACTAGAACTACAAACCGTAAACAAAGAAGTGCTTGCTTACCATTCTGAATATGAATCATGTTGATCATTTCGTCATCATTTAGTCTTCACTTTCTTTATTCCAGACAAAAATATTTGCTTATTGCAATTCCCAGATGTACAATTAGAAGAGCCTTCTGTATGTGCCCTCTTTGACTTTGTCGTTCAGCTTCTGTCAGCAATAAAGGATGTTTTCTTTGATTTGATGTGTCATGGCCTTTAGTTTTGAATATAATCCACAACCTTATTTAAAAGTGTCACAGACTTTCTACTCATGCCTTTTTATAATTCACTTCTCTACTGAGAATCAGACAAGTAAACAAACTACATTATTAAGGTATCAGATGGAGTGAAAAATCCATATTTAATGGAGTGCAAATAGAAAACTGTTAAACAAAATCCAGTATATTAACCCCAGATGTGGAAAGATGTCAAGGGTGGTCTTCCTTGTTGACTGCAGACTATGATTAATCTCTGCAGTTAGCATTGAAATAAAGGTAAAGAGCAAATCTTCATCCTCTATGCTGTTCCAGCCAAATAAACACTGGAGCTCCCCTCAAGTTTCATTCATTCACTGCTTTGTTCTAAACTGATCTAGTTTTGCTTAGTCTCAGAGCTTTGAAACAACAGAACTCAAAGCCATGAAAAAATGAGAAAGAGGAAACCGGCGGAGAATAACTGGCAACAAAGCGTTCAGAGGAATGTCAGTGTCAACAGTGGTGAGCAAAGCTGGTCCGTGCTGAGCAAAGCAGGCTCAGAGTTGTGAATGTGTGTGTTTTTGTGTGCTCGTCTCACAAGATGATTTTGCAGCGAGTGTCAGTAATTTTGTCACATGCTTTTAATCCTAATCTTACTGTCTGACCTCTGACCTATGTTCATCAGAAACGTAATGAGTGCTTCAGTATAGCCAGAAAGAAGCATTTCTGTACACAACAGGCTGAAATGTCACTGATTAGACTGTATAAAGCCAGATCACAGTTCATGCTCAGTTCAGTGCACTGGCATTATGTTAACACCCACACACTGAACAGAAGTACAGTAAATAAATAAATTTATAAATGTTATGTGTTCTATTAATTTTTTTAATTATATTTGAAATATTTATTTATACATTTTTATTAACAACAATATTTAAAATGATATTTTTAGAATTTTATTTCAGTCAGATTTTTTACATTTATTTTACCACATTGAATGTAATGATTAACATTCCCACCAGATGCTATTTTTTTAATATTGCTGTATTCTAAATTACAAATAGATTACAATTATGCAGTCATAAGTTATTGTTGATTTTCCTCATTTCATTTTAGACTTCTGCACACTTTGCAAAAAGTGGCCAGTAGTGCAGTATGTTTCAGATCGTCAGTGTCCTCCTTTCCATGATAATTGATTATGATTGGGATAACACATAGCTAATAAATCCTGGAATAACTTATCCCAGTATAAATGACTGGGTAGGCATACACTGGATAGGAAAGAGTTCAAGGAGTAGCAGGAATATGGCTCAGTGCTTTGCAACAACATAATACATTTAACGTTTAGAGAAATTGTCATGTTCTTTCAGCACTCTGTACATAAATTCAATATGGCTAAGTTTAATTAATGATTAAAAGGGGCATATATGCTCCGGATGTGTGTTCACGGTGTGTGTGTGTGTTCACTGCTGTGTGTGTGCACTTTGGATGGGTTAAATGCAGAGCACTAATTCCAAGTATGGGTCACCATACTTGGCCACATGTCACGTCACTTTCACTTTCACTTTCATATATACTTTCACTTTCATATATTCTTTGCTTACCTTGCAACCTTAGATGTACTGTACTTAGATGTAACTCTTTCAAAATACATAAAAATACGAAAACAAAACATTACAACAAGTATTTCTTTGTGATTGTATCTTTATGCAACTATCTACAATCATAAACAATGAGGTTTAAATGTTACATTGGATGCTTTTCAATGGATATTTGTACACAGTGTTCTCCCCCTCCTCTGTGAGTACCACACTCCTGATTAATTAAGATGCCAAAAAAAATAAATAAATTTAAGATCTATGAAATGTCAAGTCCTCAAAATCCTGAAAATATGTCATGTGTTTTCATTAAACCAAAAAGATCAATGAAGTGTCCTTACCACAGCCTCCTCAAAATGAGATTCACTGGCAAGCATTTGTAGGTAGTCTCCTTAGACCTAACCATGGACTGCAAGCCTTATGTGAACTTCTTTCTGAGTAACACAGGGGTGCAACAGCAACAATCCAACATATACATATAAACGCCAAGCACAAATAATAGCACCTCTCAACACTGGGCTAGTAATCAAGACATAAATTATCCCTTATCTGCTCCTGCCAACATAACTTCCTTTTACCCCTTATCAAGAGAAATAATGCCTGACAAAATGATTGTCTTTCAGTCATTACTAAAAGGAAATAAGGCAGCACAGTTTTCCTTTGTGTATCACAATATGAAGTTTTCTCTAGAGAGTTCAACAGCATTACTTGCACACCAACTGTTATGTTGTATTTTAGCCATGTATGATAATTTGCAATAGGTCAGCATAGAGAAGTATATAACGTGTATAACATTTCAAAATGAAATTACGCTGAATGATATTGTTATTGTTATGCAATATACTACTCTTATAATATCACTGTCTCTTCTGATGGGTATTACAGTGGTAGCATTAATGCAATTCAATAAATCTCATGCATTTATTGAATTGCATAATGTACAATCTGAATGTACAGACCTAAATATATTTGTATTCTTATACTTAATATGCTGGAGTGGACAAAAGCTGCTTATTATACAGTCTTGTCTAATGCCCCAAATGGAAAACCTGACTATTTGATGTCAGATGACATTAGTATAGCCTCTTACATTTGTAGCCTTGGTGACTGTCATGGCTGATTTGCTAAAATCTGCCCCCTTTGTATCTCTCTCTTTTTATTTCTCAGTTTGGTAGTGTCAAAAAAACTAGAAAACCCTCAAGGAGGAACAGCATCCATGTCGTCACCCTCTGACTTCCTTGACAAGCTCATGGGAAGAACCTCAGGTTATGATGCCAGAATTAGGCCCAACTTTAAAGGTAGTACAAACAAGCCCTTTCTCCTTATCATTTACATTTTCTCCTTGAAAGTAATATATTGGACTGTCTTTATTGGTTATTTACCACCACTTCTTGTTTTCGATTTGATTTCTTTAAAACCATTAGTTACAGTGATCATCGGTGTCTACAAGATTCATATATTATAAAGTACAAAGCTAATGCAGACGTGACTCTATATTCTGTTTCATTCTATGAAATAATTATGTAATAATGCTGCACATCTTCTATTTCCAGTTGCCTCTAGATGTTCTGCTATGACCCTGAGAACATTAATTCATTATGCTGTTACAGAGTGGCCCTGAACCCAAACCATCTCAAACTATAAATCAGCCTGAGCTTTCTTAAATTATTAAGCTGGCAAAGGACTTCCCTTCAGAAGCTCATTTACAGAAGCCACTAATTCATAAATGTTAAGTAAAGGGAATTTGAAAAGCTACAAAAAAAAGAGAGGTGCAGTTCTGAATGACAGGAACCTGGCTTAGGTGTGTTACAAGCAGATATATAATAAAGAAATAAATTTATGTTCTAAGTACTTTGCATACATCAATATTGTAAGTGAAATGGAAATAAATGAATCAATAAATAAATAACGAGTAAAACAGATCAAATTACCCAAATTTCCTTTTCCTTCCATTACTGAATTATGTCTTGTTTAGTCTTGATCATGACTTAATTTTCTTGAGATCTCAACAAAGCAAACATTTTACTGATATCTTAATTTTAAAGTATTATTATTATTATTTTATTTATTTTTTGTTATTTTTTTGTCTAAAATAAAAAAAAATGCATAAGAATATGCAAATGAGATGAAACTATGGATAACATTATTTAAAAAGAAAATTAAAAATTATATAATAAAGAAATAAATTTATGTTCTAAGTACTTTGCATACATCAATATTGTAAGTGAAATGGAAATAAATGAATCAATAAATAAATAACGAGTAAAACAGATCAAATTACCCAAATTTCCTTTTCCTTCCATTACTGAATTATGTCTTGTTTAGTCTTGATCATGACTTAATTTTCTTGAGATCTCAACAAAGCAAACATTTTACTGATATCTTAATTTTAAAGTATTATTATTATTATTTTATTTATTTTTTGTTATTTTTTTGTCTAAAATAAAAAAAAAATGCATAAGAATATGCAAATGAGATGAAACTATGGATAACATTATTTAAAAAGAAAATTAAAAACTGATGCATTAATGGTTATATTAAAGCAGACACGTTTTAAATAGCCCATAAGTACTCACACATATATAATGATTAACCAGTGAGTCAAATAGAAAATATCTTTGTAGAGACTTTACTGTATTACGGCTGATTTCGCTCTTCTTTCCACAGGTCCGCCTGTGAATGTAACATGCAACATATTCATTAACAGTTTTGGCTCCATTGCAGAGACAACTATGGTATGTATTCCCTATCTGGCAATGATGCGTGCATTTTCATGCACAAATGCCCCATGGCAGTTTACTCAATATAAATCATAACAATATATTAGCACTGTGTTGCACTAATAGTCTGTCATTAAAATTCACAGTTCAGACTTAATGGAAACAGTATAGCACATATTCAAAAGTTTGTGTTTTGAATGAAGGGAACATTTCTGCTTGCGTGGATGCATTACATCTAAATCCAGATTGTGAGAAAGACTGTAGGACACTGTTAGGAAGTGTCCACCGGCTGAAAGTCATAAGGGGTGCAAACTTGCTTCTGTCACCAGTCTCCTTGGAAGTAATTTTATGAGACAAAGTTGGGAGGGCTTTATACCCTTTGGACCCCTTTAGACCCCTTTAATCTTTCATCTCAGCCTTAAAATCTACAATTAACTGAGCTTTCAGTACCCTAAAATGTTACTTTGCCTTCACATTTGCTAAAAAGCAGTTTTAGTAAGCTATGTGAATTATTTCACTCTGAATCTTCCGTTACATCAATAAAAAAGGTTACAGTAGTATACTTCTCTGAAGTCAATCATAGATCCAGTCATGTGGAGAGCTTCCCCACTCACCACCGTACATCACTGTTAATAGGCCAATGACATGTGTCCATTATAAATAAAAAAGAAAAATCGTTTAAAGGGGTCATGGCATAAGAAATCAAATTTTCCTTGATCATTTGACATATAAGAGGTAATTATGGTATAAAATCACACTAAACGCTGCCAAAAGAGCTTGTTTTCTACTTCCAGGTTTTTATTACGTAATAGAGATTAATACAACAGCACAAGACTGCATGCACAGACACAGATCAATGCCTTTTTGGTCTGCCCACTGGCATGTTAAGAAAATGCGGAAGAAACACAACATGATCACTGGACTAAAAGTAAAATTATCTTCAAAGGATAATATTCATTTATTGCGTTTTTGCGTCAGTAAATTAAGCCAGTGACTAAACAGTCAACTTCACACTATTCCTCTTGGCATGGAAATCAACTGTTATTTAAATTTTGATTAAATTATATACATAAAGTGAGCAAAAACGCTCGCTTTATAATCGCTGGAGCTGTCAATCAAACTGACTGCATTCTGATGCTGTACACAATCATTTCTAAATTATTTCTACATTATGACAGTTTCTGATACATTACAACACATTATAAGTGTATGTCAGGAAACATTACAAAATAAAAATGAATGAATGAATGAACATAAATAAAATAAAAAAAAACACTAGTTATTTTTTTCCTCCAGATATCATGGAATTATGGCATTTTACAACCTGAACTAACCTTGCCTTTGGCAGACAAAGGTTCAAATATTACTATATGTATATATAGCAGTTTTTAGGATATATTAAATTTATATTTGTTTATTGGATTTCTTTTCAAGAATTTCAAGATAGATAGACAGACAGACAGACAGACAGATAGATAGATAGATAGATAGATAGATAGATAGATAGACAGAGAGAGGAAAATTTAAAACATGTTCAGTGGTGTATTCAATGATTTGCATGTATAAATTGCAAAAGTTTTAAAAGGTATTTAACATTGTTGGTTTACAAGTAGAGCTGGACACAACCGTTTGGGTTGACAACAACACTTTGGATGAATTTCATCAGGAAAAGAAAAGGGAGAATGGTTCAGACAAGTGTTCATGCAGAAGAAAGCACCCAAGCCTTGGATGTACTGGGGTCTGGGTTGCTTGTATTCCAGGTAGCCATATCCTGAAACCTCCAGGCAATCAGCAACTGAGAGGCAGAAAGCAGTTATTGTTGTGCACTTCATCCCTACAGGGATCTTGTTTGTTATTATATGCCACCATGGTTGAATAAAAACAGGCTCCGCGTGTGCTTAGCAATGGAACCCTGTGCATGTTGCGTATTAAGGTTTATTTTTTCTTTTTGATGTTTGGTCACATCTTACACTTCAGACAGCCAAACAAACACACATTTGGGATTGCACCCCATTACAACCCAGATCTACACACAGGAACAAGGAGATGTGATGTTAGCTTAACTACACAAGTGTCCCAACATTACTTTCTGTGAACACAAATGGCTCATCACACACACACACACTGAGAGTGCCTTGTTGCCTTCATCCCTCAGCTTGCTCTGAATAAGTTATGCGCTGAGAGATGGCACACCCACTCTGAAGTAATTATGTCTGAAGAGACTGTGCTTTTGCCAAAGCTTTTTCCTCACTCTGAGTGGACTTCTCTTCATAAATATTCCTTCCTTCAAGCAGGGTACTTGTCATTTACTCAAATCAACAAACTTGTTGATCCTGGAACAACATTCCAATCAACGAATCAGAATTGAGGGATAAGTTTTCAAGAAATGTTTCTACATGGACAGTAAAGGTGATCCAGGATCAACAAAAGATGTTGATCCAGGAACATGTCTCACTTGGCAAAATCACGGCGACCATATCCCCACATAGCATCACCGAGATTTTTGGTGGTGTAAACAATTTATTCTGAAGCAATATTTTTATCAGTGTTATATCAGCTTTTACATACTTAAATCTGCATGTTTTTAATATTTACCCCAGGATGTTATTTACTTTTATAAAGGCCAATATTTGTTTAACATATTAAATGTATGCATCATCTTTCATGTCAAATTCTTACAATTGATCAAGAAATTCAATATACACTACAGGGCTGTTACCAAATTAAATTAAATAATTTACACTGCAAAATTACAACTGCATTAAATAATGTTATGAGATTAATGTTTTAATAACATTTTGAATATACAAATAAGAAATGTTGGGAGAAAATGCATACTTTTAAACATGAGACTAAACCGCCAGTAGGTGGTTCATTCATTCAACCAATTCCTTCAAAACCCAGAATCATTCAGTAACAAAAATGCCTTGTGTTGCTTGGAGAATGTGTAATACTTCTGTTCTGATCTTTGTTTGGAACTATTTTCGTTGGTGAAATAGAACAAAACAGTCAATACTTAACTACTTGTTTGTTGAACTAAAATCAATGTAACATTTGCAATCATGAAAATATTCAGCAAAATAGCCCCCTTTTCACAGTATGTTACTTAACTACATCATGTTATAAATAAACTAAACATTTACATTTTTTACTTCAGTATGTTTCTTCTGTGAGTTTCTTTATGTGTGCCGTTATGCTATTTGATTTGATTTCTCCATGAAAGTCTCTCACAGAGACAGGCCTCAACAGTGCAACATCGATACCAGAAAGTAAATACAATATCCATTAACAATCATATAAGCTGAATGTAATAAAATGAGAAGAATCATTCTCGCATTTCGATTTTTTGGTCACTTAAGTTTTAATCAGGCTATTTGTCAAGTCGGGCGAGTAAAATTCTTAAGCCACTTTTCAGTAAACTTGCATTAACCCAAAGCAGCTGCGATCCTGCTCAGCTAAGCTGGTGTTCGGCAGGATTTTGCTACTGCAATTCTCTCTCTAGAGTAACTACAGCGGGGGGAAAAATCTCAAGTCTGTCCAATTATTGTAAACAGTCACTGGATCCGTCAGACTGTAATTTTTTTGCAGTACTGTGACCAAAAATATTTAAGACCCACTGAATCTGAATTTAAGATATTTTAAGGATCCGTGGCCACCCTGTTATCACCATGTTCTCAGCATTGAGATGTTGCTTGGCTGTTGACAAGTGGGGGATCTGACACAGTCGAGGTTTGCCTATAGTCACTAACCATGTTACACTAGTTTCCCATGTGTGAAACTACACAAGTAGAACTTCATTCCAATATCCCACCACTCATGCACTCTTGACGCACAGACCTTCTAATGAAGTTCGTCGAGTATTTTAGAAAGACACAGATAAGATATGAAAACCGCCCGGTTCTCCATCCGCCTTGCTGCCTAACAAATTATATCACCCACGCACTGTCACCTTCCATTCATTATTAGTGGTTGCTCGTCTTAGTTGCTTTCAGGCAAATTCAGTCTGACTATACATAGTATATTCTTAAAATTCAGAACAAAAGAACTATTGTTGTCAAAAAGCATAAGTTCCAATCTCTCCTTGGATGCATTTTTAACATTTATATCAGCTTTTATTAGTTTCAGATTATCGTAAATCTGTCTCCAAGCTTATTGTTGAGGCTTTGTCTTCATTACTCATGCAATTCTGCCAGGCTTCTAGGCAAATATCATGAAAAAATATGGCATTTAAAATTTTATTACATTTTATCCCCTGAACTTTAATTTAATATGGACTAAGAGCTGTAAATTACATTTAAGAGGTTTTTTTTTTATTTTTTTAATGTGTCTCAAGGCAAATGTAAGAGCATGCCAGTAATGTCTCTATGTCAGATTGACAGAGAAAAAAGACCTTGTTTCTCAGTCATGCACATATAATAAATTCTAGCTACGTTTTATATTTTCAACAGGGTTATTATCATTAACTAAAACTGACAAAAAATGTAAAAATAAAAAAATACACACTGTATTTCATCTAGTTACAGGGCAACATTTCTCATATTCATTTAGCTTAAGCTGAAGTACTAAAATAAAAATAAAACTTAAAACTATAGACATTAAAAATGACAAAAATGCACAACAAAATGACTTAAAACTTTCAAATTAAAATTAAAACAAATTATAAAAATAAAATCGAAATAAAGATATTAACAAAAACTATAATACTATATATCAATGACATCCTTAAATATGAATTTGTCCTTCTTTTAAATACTATATATATATATATATATATATATATATATATGATGAAGTGTACAGCAGGCAAGAACAGATCTCATTGATGATTGAGTCTCTACATGCCCAGTGATTGGATTCCTTTTTGAAACATAATCGTTGCTAAACAAAAAAGCATTTCAATTTTACCTTATATAACTGTTGGCAAGGTAACAGTTGGCTAAACTCCATGGTCCATCACAAACTCATACTGATGATATTACACACCTTATTATAGTATCAGTATCATTATTTATTTAAAGTAGTGGTTCATAAACTTGTCACCCATATTTAATGAAATTTGCTTTGTCCTTGAGGGATTTTGCTCATGATTTTCAGAAGAAGGTGTATCACTTAACCTGTTCATTTTGGCATCTGCCTAATTTTACCAGCTTTCATCAAGTGAATTTAATGTCCGCAAAAAAAAAAAAAAGGCCACATTTTATCCTACCTTGTTAATAAGCCTACTGTATTTATTTTGCTATCCTTAATGCATGATTTGCTTGATTTTATTATTTGCATTTAGCATTTTTTTCTCTCTTGATTGTAACCCTATCAGAACAAACATTACGTAGCAACATACCGGTTGATAACCACTGATTTAATGTATTTACAGCTGTGAAACTACAAATGTAAACAGCAGTGCATTGAATAAGTAAAAATCTCAAACAGCATTTTGCTGTACCATAAATTTAAGTAATGATGCTCATTTCTATTTCACTTGCAGCGGCTGTGCATGCTTGTACATGAAAATACCCATTTTGTCTGATTTAAAACTGACAGAGAGGACTGTTGTACATCTCCTGTGCTATTCGCCTTGACTGATGTTAAGTATTTATTCTTAGGATTACAGAGTGAACATATTTCTCCGGCAGAAGTGGAATGACCCTCGGTTAGCTTACAGCGAGTACCCAGATGACTCCCTGGACCTGGATCCCTCAATGTTAGACTCCATTTGGAAGCCTGATCTGTTCTTCGCTAATGAGAAGGGAGCACACTTCCATGAGGTCACCACTGACAACAAGCTCTTGAGAATATTCAAAAATGGAAATGTCCTCTATTCAATCAGGTGAGACTCTTCAGCACCGATCAAAATAGTTATAGGTCGTAGAAAACATTTTGTAGTGTGACTACAGTAAGCAGCAGCTGAGAGTTTCAGTATGTAATAATGCCTAGCATTCAATTAATCAATCAATCAATAAAATGCCTTTGTTTTACTGAAATGTAATAGAATGCTGTATGATGACCATTTTAAATTCCAGCATGTTAACATATTTTGTTTAAATAATACTATACTTATCTAGCTGGATCTGTCCGCTGCTTTTGATACGGTGAACCACCAGATTCTCCTGTCAACCCTATTGTAAAATGGCATCTCAGGAACCGCACACCAGTGGTTTGAGTCTTACCTCTCAGTTAGGTCCTTCATGGTATCTTGGAGAGGTGAGGTGTCCAAGTCGCAACATCTAGCTACTGGGGTGCCTCAGGGCTCAGTTCTTGGACCACTTCTCTTCTCTGTCTACATGGCATCACTAGGTTCTGTCATTCAGAAACATGGCTTTTCATATCACTGCTATGCTGATGACACTCAACTTTACCTCTCATTCCATCATGATGATCCAATGATAGCTGCTCACATCTCAGCTTGTCTAACAGACATTTCTTGTTGGATGACGGACCATCACCTTCAACTCAACCTGGCTGAGACAGAACTGCTTGTGGTTTCAACAAACCCATCACTTTATCAAAATTTCACCATCCAGTTAGGCTCATCAACCATAACTCCTTCAAAAACAGCTCGAAACCTTGGAGTTGTGATTGATGATAAGCTGAATTTCTCAGACCACATTGCTAAAACTGACCAGTCCTGCAGATTTGCTTTATACCACATTAGGAAGATCAGGCCCTTTATTTCAGAACATGCAACACAACTCCTTGTTCAAGCTCTTGTTCTATCCAGGCTGGA